ATATCAAGCAAGTTGCACAAAGTTTTGTGCCACAATTTGACTTTTTTTTGTGTTTGGAGAGCCCCAACAAACGTCGAAAGAGGCGACGAGGCACAACAAACACGGAAAGAGGGAGAGACAAACAGACAAGAAACAGGCCACAGACCTCGTGCCGACTCTAGCATACCCTCTACCCCAAGAAAATCTCCACTAAATAGAAGCCAAATAAATTCCCAAAAATACAAAAAGGACACATGGAAATCTTCTTTGGATCGGTACGACTTTCAGGGCCATAGATGGTAGAGAGAATGGGCTGCGAACGATGTGCTAGATAATCCTGTTTCCGCCAAACAACAAAAACAATTTTCAAGTGCAGCTCTGGGCCGTAATCCCCTTGAACCTTCGGCATCCGTGAAGAGGTTGCCACTGGCAATGGGCTACGTTGCGGCAGAGGAGTGGCAGTGTGCCATAACACGGACTATTACCCCGTCCCAGTTGCAGCTTCAAAACCGCTAAGCGCCCAGTCAAAGTTTTCATTAAAGTGGCTCCCGCTCGTCGCCTGCTCTGCTGCTCTGCTGCTTCTCCTCTCGACTTTTGGCCTCGCTAATTGCTCGGCATTGAGGAATTGGCAACGCTGCGAGCTTTAGCTTGTTCGGGCTGGCTGATGTGAGGTGTGACTTGGATTGGAAATGGATCCCCATGGAAGCACTGACATGACCTGCAAAACAACAGAGCCACAAGGCTATGTATCTCTTTTGAAGTATCTTCAAATTGCTGTTACTTTAAAGTACTTCTATACTTTTAGACTGTGTTTCAGGGAGAAAACTCAGACTATTTCTTTGGAATTTTACCAAGAATGAAGAACTAGAAAAGTAAATCTGCAAAAACAGACGAAATATATAAGAAAAAACCCATTTTTGTTTAAATCTTTCAACCTTGATGAAACGCATTATTAATAAATTAAAAATAAATGCAATTTTCGAAATCAACAAAATTCCGGAGAACATTAGGAATGTACATATATCAAAGCGTCTTGTTTTAGCCGTTACTCCAAAAGGGGTATGTATATTAGTTTTGTGTAGATGTGTGTGTGTAACACCAAGAACGTGCGAGATTTAACGGCAGGTGTTGGTGGAGGAAGAGGAAGAGGGAGTGACAGAGTCAGATGTTGCGGATTAAAAAGCTGTAGCGGAAAAAAGAAAATAGATAAAATATTGTAAAATTCTAAATGACTAGTAAAATTATTTCTATCTATCTTAGATTTATCATCTCTGCCCCCGGCTCCACTGGAAAGACAAGCTAAAGCTGTACAGTCGAACTTCTCTATTACAACAAAATAAACTGAAAGGTAGGTCATATATGTATATAGGACTATATATATGATCTGGCTCCTTTGTTTCAAAAGAAAGTGGAATCCAATTTTTATTTTCAATTTTTAAAATTTAAATCATAACTTTTTTATGTGTTAATTTTTATATACAAATTATTTTCAATTTTTATCATGTAAATTAATTTTAATAATTAAAAAAAAATGTAAAACAAAAAATTCAACAAATAAATTTTATTTTTTTAATTTTTTCTATAAAAATTATAATTGTTACGGTCTCTGAAATAAATACATATATTCCCCAAATGGAAGTTCGACTGTATACTGTACATATTTCTCTCGTTTGCACTGCAGGTTTTCCTCAATAGATTTGCTCTGTTTTTGCCATTAATCAGTTAGCAAAGTCTAAGGTCATAGGGCCCTCAGAATCAATTTTGGAACCCCTGAAGAGCGGTGTCGTCGGCAGCGGATGCCTACTAAAAGGGGGAGCTTATTACCCACCAAAATATGGTGGCAAATGTTTATGAAATATTAATAATTGTGGATTCAGGTAGAAAATGCCAAAATTTGCTGCGTAGTGCCATTCCCGAATTTGTGTGTTGCAGCCTTCCTTTTTGGTCCTAATTAATAAACTCCAAATTAGGGCAAACCGAAAATTCGTTCCCCACATTGTGGGTTGTTCAATTTTAGCCCCGCTTTTCGTATTCCCAGCGTAAAAAAAAATTATATAAATAAAGTTTAAATTTTCGTGACATTTTATTTGCGGCTGCCGTTCGGTGCCAAGCCAATCCTTGACATTTTTTGGTTTCTTTGGATTCTTTGGACGCTTTGTTTAATGAATTACCAGAGCGCTCATTACCAGCACTTAATGGGCGGGGGGAGGGGCGCGGGCAGGCTCTGGGGAACTGTGACTGTGACACTGCTCCTTGAGTTTGTTTTATGTCGACGGCAGTGTCCGTGCCGCTGAATGGCACTCGTGCTCTATACCCGGCAGAGGATTATTTGACATTGATGCGTTGACTTGTTGAACTTGCGGCTGAGAGCGGGGGGAGAGGAGGGGAGCGGAGGAGAGCGAAGCCCGTCATGCGTTTTTAAATTAAAATGTACGAGTATGTTCTTTAAGCCGTGCTCGGCTAATCAATACTCGTAAATGCAGTTGCCATTAACTTTCTGGGGCGCAACTTTGGCCAACTATTTTTCAATTTTCGCTGGTGCTTCTGGAAAAGTTTGTGCTCCTCCAGCTGCCACGCAAAGTAATGCAACATCCATTAAAATGGACGACAGGAGCAGGCGGGCAGAGGCAAAGGCTGCAGAAGGCAGCAGCCCAGGAAATCGATTGAAAATATCAAACGGGAGACAGGAGTGGGTAGGGAGGCGTCTGCGGATCCACGCGATGACAGATAGATCCGAACGCAATCAATACACGCTCGTACATGCCCCAAGATCAGGCAGAAACAGCCATGAAAGGTGGAAAGAATTGCCAGAACAGAGAGGGGCAGAGGGAGAGCTGGGAAACTAAAAAACTGAAACAGGTTGCATGGAGCAGGCAGCAGGTGCCTGACGCTAAAGTGCCAACTTATGCCACAAAAATGCTTGAATATAATGGTCGTTGTGGGAAGCATGAAGAATGGCTGCTGAGTGGGCGGATGGCTGGCTGGCTGAATGGATGGATGGTGGGCGGACATGGGCATGCATTTGTGCGATGCCTCCACAAAGGCCGCCAAGATGACGACGACATGCAAAAGTGGAACGAGAGCTGCTGCGTTGGCATTAAGTGGCATGTGGAAGCGGCTACAAGGACGCTGATAATGATGGAAAAATTCCCCAGGCACACACACACACATGGCAATCCCCCTGGAGCCTCGGCAGGAGTCTACCAGTTGATACTTAGCCAAAAGATACTTACTTTGCGGCACCCAGAATCCTGCCACATGGCGTATACCCGTTAAGCTCTAATACCCTGCACTCGCCACACATAAAATTGCACTGGCAGCCGCAAGACAGTGACAAAAAGGCACTTGCCGACCTTCCTCCTGGCCCGGTACAAGCACCTGCGCCAGGTCCTGACAAGTGCACCATGAGGGCGGACCGGGGGGGAGGGGGGGCCTGAGTGGTGGACGGAAAACGAAATCGACCTTGACTGACAGCTTGACATGAACTCGACTGCTCTCTGCGTTGTTGCTCTTTACCGTGCTTCACGCCGGGATCCAACATCGGGCTCATTATTTTCGCTTTAGCTGGACAGAAGCCAGGCGTGCAGTCAGGCGGAGCGGTCTTGGATGTGGGGATGTGGCTCGGAATTGGGGGAATGTAAATGGCTTTGCTCTTTAAAGCCGACAAACCGCAAAGAGCTGGGCAGCTGGGCAGCTGGGCGGCTGGGCGGTGGGATCCGGCTTTGGCTCTGGCCAAGGCTGCTCCGTAGTAAGTAACTCTGGCTAACCGACTCTCGCTCTGCTTTGGCAGATGTAGCTCGTTTAAAATGCCAGCATTTTGGTCACTTTTGCAGGTCCTTTGCTTTGACATGTCTGCGTGTTTAAAATTCATAAGCCAGGCTAGAAGGGAGGGGAGACGGGAGGGGAGAAGGGAGGGCAGCGTGGTAATTACATGCCATTCAGGTATAAATCAAAGGGAATGGAGGGAATGTTGAGATCACTGCCTCCCGTTGGGTTGATAAAATATATGGCCTCATGGGGAGAAGGGGGGATATGGGTTATGTAATTATCATGGGCCATGGAGATGTAAGTTAATGGAAATATTAGGGGGTATTGGTTCCTGAAATATTGTAGTACATCTACTGGCGGATCTACTCTTACCAGTGGAAAAGTACGGCCCCTGAAAGTGAATTATTCAAATTCTTGAAGCTTTTCTTGTACATATATATACAATATTCTTGATACGTTGACTCCCCAGCACAAATGAGCTATTAATGGCTCAGGCCACATCAGTATCGGCTCAGATTCAGCTTCAGTTACCCTTTGGGGTGGCGGCCATTTTGTACAATGTCTCTGGAATGGTCGTGCCCTTAAAAGTAGGCAACATTTTTCAACGAAATGCCTGCCAGCAAAGACAATGTCTCACATTGTATGTGTGTGTGTGTGTGAGTGTGTGGAAGAAGGGGAGCGGGCAGCTATCATGTCGTCGTTGTCGTTTGTGGGTTTGTCTCCTTGGCTGTGCTCTCCTCCCGTACCGTGTCAAAGGTTCATAAATTCCTTTTAATCCTGCTTTATGGCGACATCACATCGAACATGAACTTTAACGCGCATGTGACTCCGTCGACGGCTTCATTTGCATTTTACAACTTCATTTGGCAGCCGGAGAATGCGGAGTGCGGCATGCGGAGCGGGAATAAAAGAAAAATTTACGCCGAACCAATTGGAGCCCAGAATGGGCTCCCCCGCCTCCCCCGCTAAGGGCAGGCCAGTGCTGTGCTGTGAAATTATTGTTTAATCTTAGCCACTGCCCCCGCACCGAAGCGGGAATGTGGCACGACAAGCGGCCATTACTTCTGGCAGGCCTGGGCCTGGACTTGGGGCCTGCGGAAGTCGTTCCAGCCCAGCCCTTCCCCAGCGGAAATGGACATTTGCACGCCTCTCGATTGTCCCACATGCCACAGGCCACGCGACCCATTAAAATTCGATTTGTTTCTGTTATTTCTTTCAATTCTCAACTAATTTATTTTTGCTTTTTTCGGTGAAATGCTTTGAGTTTTTTTAGTTTGTGTTTTTGTTTTTGTTTTTAAATTACAATTGGTAGATTTAATTGGCTTACAATTTCGGTTTAAAGTCTAGCTTGAATTTTGGTTTTTGTGTACCTAAAAATAGAACCATCTAACAGTCAAACAATCAAACAATCAATCAATCAAACAATACGAATCGATTGATTCCTGCCAGTCTGTGCGGAACTCAAAAGAAACTTACAATATCATATCCGGGGACCACTACATTGTCCTTCTTCTACTCGTATGTATATTTGAGATCGCTTAGAGTACAAAAACACTTTTAGTGAGACTAACACGAGAGCGTTCAAGGGGGGTTCAAGGGGGGTTCCAGGACTAGGTTCCGATAAGGATTCTCGAAATATATAGTAGGTAGTGTTTGTTTTTTTTTGCTTTCTAAGGGCTTGATACTATACACTTACATTGTCCTCCTGCTGGGGCTGCTTCGGGGGCTTTAATATGGCGTATTAGCGAGTATAAAGAGTGGAAAAGTGTGTCTATAATACAACAGAGGGACCGGGACCGGGGCCGGGGCCAGGGTTGGGCCGAGGCTGGGGCTGGGCTAACTATCCAATCCTCGGACTCGTTTGGGCCCTCAATATCTTCCTTGACCGTCATTCAACCGCCCATCTGTACACGGGTTCGATTAGCTCTTGAAAATATCCTGTCCGGGCTGGGGGCTGGCCGCACCCGTGGCCCCGTTGCCGTCGTTGCCGTTCAGTCGCTTGAGCATGGCGTTGCGGTGCAGCCAGTAGGGCGGCGGATCGGGGGGCTGTCCCGGCAGCAGGGTCTTCGACTTCAGGTTCGAGGCCGCCGGGGGCTTGGGGCTGTGCGAGGCAGTGGCTGCGCTGTACATCACCGGATCGGCCAGCTGGGCGGCCGACTGGCCCACGGCCACCCGGAGGGGCGTCTCCTTCTTCCGGATGGTGTCGCAGGTCTCCTTCATCTTGCACAGCTGATCCTGCAGGTTGCGGTACTCCTCGAGGAACCGCTCCAGCTGCGCCGCATGGTAGTCGTAGGCGGCCACCGAGGAGTTCGCGGCCCCCGCCGCCCTGTTGGCCAGCGCCGAGAAGTCCAGGAGGGGCGTGGCCGCGCTGCTCAACGAGCGCTGGTGCTGCACTGGACTGGAGGGCAGGCTGGGCTTGTGGCCGAGATGGTGGCCCAGAGCCCCCTTGTGCGCTCCGCTCTGGACCAGGTTGAGGAAGCTGTTCGCCCGCTGGCCCCCGCCCGTGTAGGTCGTGGTGCTCGAATAGTTGGCGTAGCTGGACTCGGCCGAGTAGCGCCTGCCCAGGCCCATGGCTTCGTTGAGGAAGCTCCCATCGCCCAGGGTGCTGCTGCCGTACTTGCTCGAGTTGTCGGCCAGCAGCGGCGACTGGCTGTCCGAGGAGTTGCGGAAGTACTTGCCGCTCGTCTTCAGCTTCCGGGGCAGCGTGCACAGTCCCCCATTGGGCGTCGGAGCCCCCTGCGCATAGCCGTGTCCTTGCTGCTGCTGCTGCTGGTGCTGCTGGTGGGCCTGAGCCACCGCGTACTTGGCTATGTCCAGGAGATCCGGATAGTTGCTGTCGAATAGATCGTTATCGGGCCCGTCGCCGTTGCTGCTGCAAAACACGGACGTGGCCATCTCATCCGCCGGGTGGTTGCCGTAGCGGGAGTAGGGCGTGGCCGAGCAGGCCGCCCCCTGCGTGGGTTGGGTTAGTATCGTCGTCGTCGTCGTCGCGGGCTTGCTGTGCGGCGAAGTGATCTTGGTGGTGGCTATGGGCGTGGTCTTCCACGCCACTGCATGTCCGCCATAGCCGGCCAGGCGTGCAGCGGCGTCCACTTGACTGGAGATGGAACTGGAGGCGGAGTCAGTGCTGCGAGGGGTAAAGAGACATACAATTTTCGGTTAGTGGTGGTCGGTACAAGGTAACCCAAGGAGGTACAAGCTAGAGCCCTGGATGTGGGACTACCCCGAATCTCTCTCTCCGAAACGGACTGAACGTGGAACAGGTATTGCCATTTTTACGGCGTCAGAGCCGAAAATTTCGGTTTTTTTTCTCGCTCACTCTCTACTTAACTTTCTGTTAGAGCGAATTTGCTGGCTTTTTTGCTTCGCCCTCTGCCTAGAAACTATGTATTTGCATTTGTTTGGGTAAATTTCTGAATTTACACTGAAAAAAATTAATTTGGAAAATATAAAGAGATGGTTTTTGCGCCAAATAAAAGACAAATATTGGTTAAACCTTTGTTTTGGTGTAAAAAAAAGCCGAATTTGCATAAGAACGCCGCAGAGACTGCGAATGTGTCCGGATAATGTCCGGAGTGCTTGCACTCGGTTTTAATGATTTAGGGTGATCTAACTCTGAATGAAGGCAGGATTCGCCATGATCGAAAGGCATAAAGAGACAATTGGGGATTGCTTTGAGGGGTGCTTTGCTTTCGCGGAAGTCCTACATTCTAGAGCCTGTTTTCTTTCAGTGTAGTTGCTCGCTCCTCAACAATTCACACATAATTGTTCGCAGCTCTTCTGCATGCCCACATCCGTATCCGTATTCGTTGGTTTCTGGTTCTGGCTCTGTCCGGGTCCGTGTCCATGTCCGTGACGATAACCAGCCGCACATCCATTAAACCGCACTCGTATGCCTTTCACACGACCAGCGCCAATCAGGCAGAGTGAGTTCTCAGTTCTCGGCTCTCGGTTCTCCGTGTGCCCAAAATAAAGCACTTCTCACGGATGTGGGAAGTGGGATGCTGGATGTCGGAGGTTGAATGTTGAATGTTAGCTGTGGGGCCAGCCCTCGCATATTTCGCGCGTCATTAGCACGCGCGTGTAAGATGGAGGAGGGAGATCCGGGTGGGGGATGCGGAGTGAGTGCTGCTCGAGCACAAAGTGGAAGTGTCAAGTGTTGCCCATAATACGGACGGAATAAGGGGAGATCCGGGCGGGCACTCGAGCATGACAGCTCTTTGACAGGGACACGGACAGGGATAGGACAATTGCCACTCGAAGTAACGAACCGCAGAAACAAAAGCTGCACCAGCACTCGGGCCTCGTCTGCGGCGGGGCTTGGGGTTGGGGTTGGGGCTGGGTCGGGCACTGGGGCCATGAGGGTGCGAGGTCAACTTACCCGCCGATGTCAATCAGGCGCGGGATGTGCAGATCCGTTTCCTCCAGCGCCAGCGCCACTGCCACTGAATTATTCGCAGCGGATGCGGATGCGGATGTGGAGACAACATTGCCTGCCAGTCGCTTTGTCGTGTCGCCCCCCATAGAAGTCTTTCGCGATGGCTGCTTCTGCTGGTCCTCCTCCTCGTCGTCGTCGCAGTGCGTGGACACATGCAGATAGTCGCCATTGCGGCGCTGGGCGCCACCCGCACTGGGATTCACAATGGCCGCCTGGCCCGCATCGTTGTCGTTGTTGAGGGGCGTGTGGGCGGCGCGCAGATAGCCCTGCTCCTCGGCATCCTGGAACAGGCCGGCCCCGTTGGCGCTGCCGCCGCCACAGCTGGCCCCGCCGCCCAGGTCCGGGCGCACCCGGGCCGTCATTTCGATCTTCTCGTAGCTCTCGCTGCGCCTCACGGGCGGCACGGAGTTCCAGAGCCGCAGCTTGCGCCGCCTCCGCAGCGAGCACAGGCAGATGGCCGCAAAGGAGGAGCCCACCACGAACAGCAGGGCGGCCAGGACGCCCAGCAGGACAATCCGGACGCCCCACGGAGCCTCCGGCGGCCGCCTGGACACGGCCAGAGTCACGCTGGCCTCCACCTTGCCGGCCTTGTTCTCCGCCGCGCACGTGTAGATCCCGGCATCCTGCATGTCCGCCGTGAGAATCGTCAGGTTGGAGGCGTTCCGCAGCATGTTGACGACGTAGGTCTTGCGCCCCTGCGTGGCCGCCGCCGTGCGCGGCTCGTCGGAGTCCTCGCCGCCGGCACTGAGGTTGGCAATCAGCCGGTTCTTGAGCAGCCACCGCACCGCCGGCTGGGGCACACCCTCGACGTAGCAGCTCATGGTGACGTTGCGTCCCTCCACGCCGTGGGCCGTCGTGTCGGTGGCCACGATCTGCGGCACGCAGGCGAAGTCGTCGACGTCCAGCTTGTCCCAGGCGCGGCCCGTCAGTCGGGGGGGCGACTGGCAGGTGGGCGGTATCCCGCTGGGTATGTTCTGCTGCAGCATCCAGGCTCGAAGCGGACGCAGGGAGCAGCTGCAGTTCCACTCGTTGCCGGCCAGCTCCAGGCCGTGCAGCGAGGACAGGGAGGTGATGGTGCCGCTGCGCACCTCGCTGAGCCGGTTCCCGTCCAGCTTCAGCCACTCCAGGCTGCTCTCCAAGCCCGCGAAGGCGCGCACCGCCACGAAGGCCAGCCGGCAGTCGCTCATCTCCAGGCGCACCAGCTGCGGCACGTGGGCGAAGGCGTCGTCCGGGACGCGCAGGATGGGGTTGCCGCTCAGCCGCAGCTCCCGCAGCTCCGACACGTGGTAGAGGGCCAGCGAGGGGATGGCCCCAAGCTGGTTGTGGCTCAGGTCCAGCTCCACGAGGTTGATCAGCTTGCGGAAGGCGTGCCGCTCGATCAGCCGCAGGCGGCAGCGGGCCAGGTAGACCTTCTGGAGGTTCAGCAGCCGCGCGGCCGCGAAGCTGTCGTCCGGCATGGACTGGATGTCGTTGCCGCTGAGGTCCAGCAGCTGGGTGCCGGCGTCGAGCGGCTCGGGGATATGTGTGAGGTTGGCATTAAGGCACAAGACGGACTCCTTGCCGCTCTTCCACTTGCACTCGCACACCGAGGGGCACTCGGCGCGCAGCTGGCTCAGACAGCAGAGCAGCCACAAGAGCTGCCCCAGCGGTATGGGCGGATGCAGGCGCCGCAGGGGCCGCGACTCTTTTCGTCGCACCTTCGTCGCCAGCGTCCTGTGCTGGGCGCTGTTGTCGCTGGCTATGTCGTGCGGCCTGGCCCGCTCCTCCGGCGTCGGTGTGGCGGCTGCCGCTGCCGCTGCCATGGCATACTAGAAGCTCTCACCTGATTCCAATCAGACCACGTTCCCGAGCCTGCAACGAAAGGGGGGAAACGAGAGGGCACATCAATATCACTGCGGCTGTCATAAACCCAAGCACTGCTGACATTTTAATAAGCTCCCGGGGGCTACGCAATGGCTATGGCTATGTACTTCCATCATAGCCGTCACCGTCACCGTCACTGCCACTGCCACACTCGCTGTTGCGACATTAAGTCATAACAACGCCACAAAGGCAAGTCCCCCACAAGCACCAAGGGCCCAGACGGCCTCACACTCCACTCCCCGCCACGGCTCAACCACATTCCAACTAGAAATTTGACTTTCCTTCGCTTTTTTTCGAAGTTTTTTTTTGTCGGTTATGCCCCGCGGTTTGTTTGACTTGGCTACGTGCCTCAGTCCCCCTCCCAGTCCCCCCCAGTCGCTTTGTGTGTTGTGTGGCATGTTGCAATTATGGCCCTCGACCAGGCCTCCCTGCTCCCCCCCTGCTCTTCTCAATATATGAAATTTGCATGCGGCCAACGGGGCGTATGCACAACATTTTGGCATTTCCGCGCTGGTTTTTCGAGAGCCAGAGAGCTGGAGTGTCTCTCCGTTTTTTGATGATTATTTCGGTTATAATCTATGGGAAGGGGCTCTAAAATGTATCGAATAAATGGCAGAATAGGTTGAAGGTGTCCCCCCCGATTCCAAAAGAGTGCTCAATCGAGGCTTACAGAAGAGCTCTGCCATTGGGAGTTTTGAGTAATATTTTAGTAGAATTCCCTACCATTTCCTATATAAATATTGACGGCATTAACCTACAATCCCACAATCCCATTTCTTTACATTTCCTCCAATCTTCAGTCGTACAAATAGATCTGTTGCTTATAAAAGTAAACTTCCATGGAGCCTGTCTCTCCATTTAAAGGGTAATCCAACGAATTTAGAACCTCCTGAACCTTCAGGAATGCCAACAATTCTATTTGTCTAGATGTTAGGGGAGTTTTGGTAAAGGGCTTGTGCGGATTCACAACAGAAACCGGAAGCCGCAAAGCAAACAAAATGCTTGCAAAAACCGCGATGGTGTCGGTATTGGGGGGTGGGGTGGGACTTGCTTGGTCACTAATGCAGGGTGGAGGGCGTCTAGGGGTCAATACACTGGACGACAGTCGCAGAAATGAAATGAAGTTTTTGCATGTTACTGAAAATACTCGGCTGCATTTTTGTGCTGCCAAACAAAGGCATGGGCGGGGGCAGGGGCAGACGAAACGTGCACCAGACACTGCACTGCAAAAGGGAAACGGTGGCAGACAGACAGAAAGAGAGCCCCACATGTGTGCGAGTGTATTTGTGGTTGGTTGTGGCATTGTCGCTGCCGTTTATCATACTCGTGCGAGTACTCGTACTCGTACGCCACCGTGAAGTATGCAACATGCAACATGCAAATGTGCCTGGCTCCGCTTTTGTTGTGGGGGCCTCCTTGCGCCGCTCCTTCGACTCCGAGCTCTGTTTGTTCTTCTTGTGCAGTTACTGCAGACACTAATCCTATTTATGTTGCATTGCAGCGGGGTTAATAATTTTATTTCCAACTGCACAACTGCAGCGTCATTTGTGTCTCCGTCTCCGTCTCCGTCCGTTGCAGTCGCAGTCGCAGTCGTCTGCCGTAAGCCGCTTGCCTGCTTATGACACACGATACTCGTACGTGCCCGGGCTCTGGGCCCCGGCCTGGGTTCGAGAAACTCTCTGTGCTGGCGGTGGCAATGGCCGCTGCTCGGCCTAATGAAACGCCCATTAATGGGGCTCTCAGGAGATCCCACATGTCACAGATGATGTGTCGAAAAAGTTCTGCTCCGGTGACAGCTGCCAAATGCTGGCTTTTGGCAGAGATTTTTGGCCAACTTTGGCTCGCGTCTAGCCCTTGCTTTAATGCGAAAATAATGTCCTTACGGGCCGCATTGATTGCAAATAAATTACACACACACAGACACGACTGTGCGAGAGGGAGAGAGCAGATTAAGTGCCCCAAAGTGCTGCCGTCGTGGACTTCATAAAGACAGCGGAAAATGGGGAGGGGGGCAGGTCCGAGGGGGGCAGCGCCATTAATTTCACTTTGGCGCCGCGTTTCGTTCGTTCGTTGAAACTTTAATTAGAAAATCCCTGCAAAGATTTTTGTGTAATTTTCTCCGCTTGAATGCTTTCACTAAGCCCGAGCGAGCTCCTCCTCCCCCCTGCTCCTCCCCCCTTTCTCCTCCTCCCCACTGATAATGAAGTTCTTTTCTTCTGCCACGTTTTCTTGTATTCTTTGCATTCACACTTCCGGCTTCATTATGTGCAAATTATTTTAGCTGCACTTTCGTTCCCCAAGCCTCCCCAGGCCCCAAGGCCCCTCGAGGTTGGGGCAAATATTATTTCGCTGCTGCTCCTCCGAAAGGGAGGCTTTGATAGTAAATTCCCTTTTAATACTCTAACGGGCAGAATGATAATTATAGGAAGGAATCTTCACGAGATTGAAAGTGTATCCAGGCCTTCGATGGCTGGAAGAATCTCCCAGATCTATCTGCCTGTGAAAGAGCATTGGGGCTTCTCCATCTGGCAGCGAGGGTAAGCCAAGTTAAAAGTAATCTCTAGTCCATTCCATTCCGTCCAGCTCGCTGTCATTATTCATTTTTTGTGCGGCTTTCTTTTTGTGCTGTGTAACCTTTTTTGCCGCATTGTTTTGCAGCTGTAAAGCAATTTTCACAAGCATAATAGACTTTACCAGGGAAAAACACACAACAACAAAAAATGGGGAGAAACTCCAAGCAAAATGCCTGAAAAATAAAGGGAAAGCCAAGGAGCGAGGGAGAGCCCAGGGAAAGCTAAGCGGTATTTCTCAAGAGGCACGGCTCGGGCTGGGGAATTCGCATCGGCCACGTTCTGTGGTCAGCAGCAGCTGCACGGCAGCCTTGGGGGCGGGGTGGGGCTCCGCTGCATCCTTTCAGCCCTTCCGACCCTACCCCTTCGCGCTCCCATTTCTGTCGAGTGCCCACTTCACTAGTTGTTGTTTGCTGCGTACATTTGTTGCGGGCCGGTCCTTTGTCAACATTTGCACTGCCATTTGTTCATGATTTTAGCCAGAGTCGAAGCCGAGGCCCAAGAGGGGCCTTAAATAATGCCAAAACAGCGGCGCAGCATTTAATTAACTCCCCTCCGCCGAAGGCAGTGCTAACGACCCCGCAAAAAAAAAATCCAGAGCCCTGCAGGTAGGACTCCAAGAGAATGGATTCTCTAGAGTGTTTGGCAGAGCTGGGAGAGCAGAGCAAGCCTTTATTGGGGCTTATTGGGTCTGATAAATCACCTGCCATACCCCCCTATCAGCCAGGCTAATTATCATCATAGACAAATACAAATTTATGGCCAGAACGGCCAGAGAGAGGGCCCTTTGTCATCGCAGTGAAATTAAATAAACGTTTATCTTGGCTTGAGTGCCCGATAAGCAGGCTACCGAAAACGTGTGTCTTATTAAGCCATAAATAGAGAAGTAAAAGTTAAATTGCACCTTTCCCGACCCCCTCCCTGTGTGGGGGAGGGGGGCGCTATATCCACAATAACCAATAATACCGAAAGCCAATAAAAGTAAACAACCCGACGAAACAAAGCCCGGGGCGAACCCGCATGGCCAGGATACAGGATACTGGCTACTGGCTACAGGCCCTGCCTCACGCACACGTTTGCAATATCCCCCGAACATAAATATCCAAAAATACTGGGGCCCTAACCGGGGGGTGCTTCAATTTTACGACGTCCCTTTCCCGTCCCTCCGCAAACGTGTTCAATTGCCGCAATAAAACTTCTTGATAATATGTGAAAATCATACAAAGCACAATATTAAATTAGCCCACAACGAAAATGTGAATGGCATTGACGGCGACGGCGACGAGGACGAGGACGAGGACAAGGACGACAATGGCAACAACCGACCGACTGTGGCCATAACCGCCGACAACCGACCAGGAATGTAGACCATAAAATGTGCAGATGTCAGCCCGAAAAGGCAGCCCGAAATGGCTGAAAATGCTGAATGCTGATCAGCATATTCTCGGGCGTAGACAGGGGGCGTGGCAGCAGCAAACAGCAAACAGCCGCAAGGTAAGCGTAAGGATGGGACCATCAATTTCATTGAATGATATGTTTATATGATTCCGAAATTTGAGGTGTAGGTGTGCCGGCCATAACCATTACTGGATTAGGCCAGAGTTGGAGATTAGTTAAGAGCTTCGTTGGGGGGAGGGAGTTTCCCCAACTAAAAGTTGTGCTTGCCCCAAACCAAGGGCGGGGCGGGGCGGGGGGAGACATAGAGAACTTTTGTCAGCCGAAAAGTTACGGGCGCCTGGGAGACATCTCAATTGGTTTTGTGTGACAGTTATTGATTATTTAGTCGGGGTGTTCGCTGATTGTTCGAGGCTGCTGGGAAATCAACGAAATGGCAGCAGTCCAACTAATTGTTCGGGTCTGGCAGCCTCGCCGAGGACGGAGATTCAACTTTAATGCCGGAGAAAGGACGGGTGGGGAACCGGAAATTTGATTTGCTTTTCCCCAGCCATAGAAAGCCATTCAAAGCCCTGCCCCCCCCCCCCCCCCCCCCCCCCCCCCCCCGCCCTGCCTGCCTTCTGGAGCATACCGAAAGGATTTCCGCGCACAAAAACTCAATAATATTACAAGTCCCGTATAGGTATGCCCGTGAATTTTCGGTGAATTGCATTCACTTTTTTTCACGCCGGGCTGATTCGATTTGCACTTGAATCGGGAGACGTCGGTCGGAGTCGGAGAGTGACAGAGGTTGCAGTATTTGGGGCACATTCCATGGGGCATTTACTTTCGTTTGGCTCTGCAAATATTTGCCGTAACAGAATTCAAAAATGCAAAAGAAATTCCGGACTTTTGAATTCCATTCTTTGATACTTTTCCTGTGGCTCGAGGAATGTGTGTCGGCCCAGTAAATATTTCGTTAAATAAACAATTAGTTTGGGCAATAATACATAAATATTTGTGCAAATACTGCTGGAGGAATCC